TAACAATTCCCAGCATCTTCGCCAAGGAATAATTCTTAAAATGTTCATAGGCTTTTACGGTTGACACAACAGCTTTCCATTCTGATCTCAAATCATTCTTGAATGTCACCTTCTGCTCTATCGGTTCACGCCTGATTTTATGTTTTAACATCCTTCTTAAAAGATGATTAAAACGATTGAAAGTATGAACAAGCGTTTCATCAGACTTCTAAGTAAAGGTACCAAACTCCGAAAGAAGTAGTCTTTGAACCCAATGTTCAAGATCTACATTGCTTGAATTGAGTTCTTTCAGTCTGTCCCATTTCTCCTTTGCAGTTTCACAAGAACTCACCAGATGACACATGTCTAGAGGAAGGGCGAACCTAATAATCCTCACTACCTTGACGTTACTCATTAACTTCTCTTTCTCATCTTGTGGAATGTTCGTTTGTTCAATGAGAAGAGACTTATACTTTGCTTGAGTTTTAATGACTTTCCTTGTAGTAGTGTGTGCAAAAGTCTTTGTTATCGATTCCCATATCAATGAACCATGATCTTCAATACCTAGCATGTAATCTTCAAAATGCAACAAGTATACTTCATAATCGTGCGGAAAGAGAATAGGGATCCTGGTAGTAGATATGATATTTCTTGATAGATTAAAGGAGAGGGTGTGTGGATCTTCTGGTTACATGATGTCGATTCACAAAAACCTATTAAGAATCAGATGTGTAATGTAATAATCAAGTTTAGTGCTCAAATAGAAACCAGATCTATCATTTGCAATCGATGAGAACGATGAAGACGACAAAAAACTAAAAACCCTAATAAGCTCGACAAAAGATATGCGTATGAATTACACAAAATCCTGCTTTGATACCAATTGTTGAAACAATAAAATTATGATCGATAGATCCTTTAATAGAAAAGTGGATCCAATAAGAAGAAATTTTGATCAAAAAGTACCGAATGATTATATTATCAAATCCTTAGAAGAGTTATGTGTGAACTTCTCTGTAAAGGCGATGTAGGGAAATACAATGGATAACCCTAAAAAAAATGCATGCATGCACTATTAATAGTCTAACCGTAATATCATTAAATCTCGGGTAGACAGACCCAGCTCGTTACATTATGGACTATACTGGTACAAAACTATATTGACACAACACATTAAATCTCCAATATCAGGAACTTAAACTTTTGAGGCTACAACATCTTTTCAACCAATGAAGTATCTCCAAATCTAAATCTTTGATGCTTTCTATTGGCAAACTACACATCCTACTGGATTCTTTGTTTAGCAGCTCCTATTCTTCAAAGATAAATCTCATATCCTTGAGGTTACAAAGCTATCAGGTTCTCTTGAATATCTGAGTTGCACCCAGGAATTCGGTCAATTCCTAAATCCTATCAGATGCTTGGGAGGAATGACCAACCTCTCCTTGAGAAGAAAAAAACTCATAACCTATGGATAATCTTATCAAGAGACTTCCTTCTTTTACCCTGAATAATTAAACTGAAACGGACCACTTCTATCTACCTGTGTTGCGCCCTCTAGGACCTCCATTTAGAGATGGAAAGTCAAACTTCTCTTTGTGCTTTCTTCTTATGGTTCGGTTCTCCCCCACTTAGGCTCGACCTATTATCTGCTGCTACTTGTCACAGGTCAAACTCCGAATTGGTTTTGTATATGAAATCTGTAGCTTCTTTTGACTTTGAAGAAACTCATGTTTGTCTTATCCAATGACCTTTGATAGTCCTATCATAATACTACTACTTGTGCATAACGCAAATGATTTTTCACATAGCGAGAAACAAATGGGATAATATCGTGACAAGCACAATGTTGTCTAGAAATGTAATACGCACATGTTTAACTAAATATTATCAGAGGATCTTAATATCTTGCTACTAACAACATTAATTTAACATCATATATTTATTAAAATATTGTTGCCATACATTTATTACATATAACATAGGATTTTAGCAAAATTCTGAAAGCACTATAATTCTCTTTTGATGCGAGCACATTCATGCTGGAGCTTTTCCAAGATCAGAAGAACAACCAGCTACGGTGTCTGGTGCTTCCTTAGCTTCCTCTACCATGAGCTGAAAGTTTCACCCCTTGGCCCTTAGAGCTTCATCGTTTCCTTGTTGTCCATCAATTATCCTCATGGTCTGTCACACCCCTGAACCAGACAGCGGAAACTTCAGGGGGCTTGTGTGTGACTTCATCCTTTTAGTATCAACATATAGTATATAATTGAAACATAACATCATCATCATCACATGTAATATAACAACATACATTGTTTACATCGACAATTGTGTTTAAATATTACATTCCAAAATAATTAAAGTATGATGAAACAAACTATAGCAAAACATCCATTAGAATGTTCAGCCTAACCTGCTTCAACGGTTTCTTGAGAATACAAGTTAATTTAGTCATGTTTAGCAAAAATTTCCTTTTGAACCCCTTAAAAGTCGTATGTTGCATAAATAACCCATGCTTTGTCATTTTGCCGATTTTTGCCCCTTTCATGATGTTTTTCTTAGATTCAAGTAACCTAAATGTATTTTAAACCTTTTTCTTGCAAGATAAGTTGAAATAAGTGTTATGTTATACCATTATCATCATCTTTTAGTAGATCTTTAAGTTCATGAAGTTTACATCACATAAACACATATGTAACTAAAGAAAACACACAAAATCATGCATATACACATAGATCTACACAAAACAACCTGTATTCTCCCCCCCCCCCCCCCAAACAAAGTAAAAATAAAAAATAAGGGGGTATAAACTCACTTTGCTTTGGATGTTTCGATTTTTTGTGAGGAAATAATGAGATCTCGGCCTTAGATGTGTTCTTAAATTTGTCCCAAAATTTAGAGGCCCCTAAAATCGGAAGCACCGTGCGACCGCACCATCCGCACACCCACAGCCCCACTGTGTTCGTAGCGATTGTGTTTGACAAACTTTGACTTAATTTTCACCACCTTATTTTTAGTTACGGTATAATAGTATTGTGTTGCCATGTGTTGTGATGTGACAAGTTTTACATTCCAGTCTTAGAGTTAGTGGCATAATGACAAGTATATCTACCTCTGCCGTCTACAATGATCAAACTTGTCAATTTATGTAGGTAACCGGAAAAAGCGATTGGGACTTGTAGAATCGCCTTAATTTACAAAATGTTAATATAAACAGAATACAACATTTATTAAAATATTAATATTTAAGAAAAAAAATGATGACATTTCTTGCAAATCGTCTGCCAAAACATTTAAAAAAAAAAAAAAAAAAAAAAAAAAGTAACTGTTTGCAAATAATTAAAGATTAGCTGAGAAATCAAATCAAAGGTCAATAGTATATATTTGGCAACTCGTAAATACCTATTTAATGACATGTTCAAATGCTGAAGTAGTGAGTTTGACAGAATGGAAGCATGTTGGTCACTTTTGACAAATAATTAATGTTATTGTTGTATTTTCATTATCAGTATCTTGTGTTTGTTTATTAATGTATGTAATTTTTTTTTATTATTATTATTATTATTATTATTATTATTATTTCTAATATTCTTTCGACAATATTCTAAGTTTTTCCAGTTAAACCATGTGAAAAACGGCTCCTAAAAATTTTAGGCGACAATCTTCGTATTAACAAACATACCATATTTCTGATGTACAATTAATACACGTACATATGGAAATTAAGTGTTTCACTTTTATAGAAGTATCTTTCTCAAGAAAAAAAAAATCCCCAAAAGTACTCAATAAAATATCCTGACATGCTTAAAAAAATTTCATCGATCCATTTATTAAAACCATTATCCATTCAAACATTCATGCACATATGACTTAATTAGAATAAAAAACAAACCAACCCTTCTAATCCAAACATATTTTAGAATATAGTTTTCTTTTTAAAATCAAACTTGATATCTAAATATCAAAGCATTTGTACCATTGACCCATAATTGAGAAAGAAAACATGCCAAAACAGAAACGCACTAATACCTATGACAGCATAAGTCCCCACACACACATGCACACACAATTCAATATAATACATAGTATCTACACACATAACAAATTACTTTTTATTTTTTTCTTTTTTGTGATGTAATGACTTGTACCCTATGCTTTAAAAGTTGTACATTGTGATTGAAGCCAGGAAGTCTGAGAGTGAAAGCAGTGTGGGTACCCTGAGATACCATTCAACTGTAGTGTCAGTACCCATGTGACTATGTGGGCCTCTCCCCTCATGTCCACCCTTAAAGAAACCAAGAATGAGACAAAAGAGTCCCCCTAGCCTATCCTTTATTCACATAAAGAAACACCCTTTCCGCCACCTACCCTTCCTTTTCACCATCCAAAGGGTATTTTCGTCATTTTCCCATTTTAAAATTTTACCATTTTAAAAAGAACATTTTGATTATTTCATCATTCAAAGAGCATTATCTAGGACATTTACAAGAATCTTTTATCGAACACCCATCTTTATTGATCGAAAAAAACCGACTATTTTCGTATTTCCCCATCCAAAGGGTATTCTCGTAAATCTTTCTTTGGTCTTATAAAGATGACTATTTCATTATTCAAAGGGCATTATATAAAAAAGATGAGTGTTTACTATTTAGCAATGTAAAGGGCATTTTTTTTTTGAAAGTCCCATCTTTATTGATGGAAAAAAGATGACTATTTCGTATTTCCCAATCCAAAGGGTATTATAGTAATCTACCACGATCTGTCTCAGATACTTATCTTTATGATGTCAAAAAGATGACTAAACAAGCAAAGGCTGTTTCCTCAGAGCACTAACACACAAAAAGAGATAACAGAAATGACAGCTTTACCCTTTTGGGGTCTATATATCTTTTTAATAGTCATATGCTTTCCCCTACCCACAGTCAACAAAAATATGTACACACAAGTACATCCACCATTCACATCCTTTTTAACACCTCAAAAGGAAATAGAGGGTAAATTTGTCATTAGCTTCCACTACTAGTATATAGAAGTAAAAAAAGATAATAAAAAAAAAAAAAGTACCTAATCACTACTACTACAACTAACCATTAGCTTCTTCTTCCACTATGCCATAAAATCAGTAGTTTTTTTTTTTTTTGTTTCTTGTTTTTTGGGAGATTTTTTCTTTTTCTTTTATGTATTGCATATTGATATTATATGTATGGGTTGTAAGTATTGAAGATGACATTAATCTTGAGCGCTATACAGCTAGAAGAAGTAGAGGATCTTTTTTTCTCTTCAACTTTCTGCACCAAAATTCCTCCTTCACCTACATTTCAATGGCTTCTTGCCCACAAAAAGACCTGGTAAATATTAAAAAATCCCAATTTGACCATGAAAAATATTCCAAAAAGCTTCAATAACAAATAAATGTAAAAACTTTTTTGGTGTTCTCTTACCTTTGATCATGCAAAATACACACCAAATTTCATAAAAAACTAAATGTAGTTTGGATCTCTGTCTCTTTTTTTTGGTTTAAGCATTAAAATTTTGAACTTTAAAAAAAATTAATTCAATATGGTTAAACAAAAAAAATATGGTGGTTTTTATTTTTATGGAATTTGGCTAAAAATATATATAAAGTTTGTGGGGTTGTCTAACCTTGGCATTTGAAAGTAACATGATTTGAGAGACGCCATGTTCAGGGCGGCTGAACTGGCGGCCGATGGCGGTGCATCAGATTCTGATAAGTTAGTTGAGAACACAGAGTGGTGGTTAGTGGCGGCGGTTTTTGTAGGGGAAGCGAAGAGGTTATCTGGAAGGATGTGGTCGAAGCTGTATATACACAAAAAAAAAAAATTAATAATTTTAAAATACGATAACAAAAAGTTAAATAATTTATATCAAAACAAAATAATAATAAAAAATCAAACCTTTCATTGCTATAAGTTTCATTAAGATTAGACTTGTCCTGCTTCTCATTGCTATTGTCATTATTGTCCCCATTTTCATCATTTACTTCTGACAGTACTTTCATTTCAGAGCCATCAGTACCTTGGATGCCACTGCCATTAACCCCTGCACCACTTCCAACATCAGTATCTGAACTGAAGGGCATTTACGTCTTTTTGCACAGATAAAAACGACATATCAACCCATGTCCCATCCTTTCGGGTTACGACAAAATATCACAATGTCCGTCTAGTTGATATCAGTCGCAGTCCAATGCAAACCAATCAGTGTCCGGTCCAACAATGATCAGGATCCGAAGGGCGTTTACGTCTTTTTACATAGATAAAAACAAGATATCCACCCATGTCCCATCATTTTAGTTTTGAACAAAATATTACAAACATCAGGCTCAGTCCAATGCAAACCAATCACAGTGTCTGGTCCAACAATGATCAGGATCCGAAGGGCATTTACGTCTTTTTACATAGATAAAAACAACATATCCACCCATGTCCCATCATTTTAGTTTTGAACAAAATATTACAATGTCTGTCTTGTTGACATCAGTTACGGTCCAATGCAAGCCAAACACATTGTCCGGTCTAACAACAATCAGGATCCGAAGGGCATTTACGTCTTTTTGCACAGAGAAGAACGAGATATCGACCGGTGTCGCATTTTTTTGGGTTTGGACAAAATATTACAATACCTGTCTCGTTAATATCAATCTCAATCCAATGCAAGTCAAACTTGTGTCTAGGGTTTTAGAGAAAGAGAATAATATATTTACCTTTGGAAACTTTATTTTCATTGTTGCCATTGGATGAAAGGAGACTTTGAGAATGGGATACGTTGTGATGAAGGTGATGATGATTATTGAGATCATTTAAATGCATGTTCATTAATTTCCTATCTTGAAGATCAATTGCTTGTTGCAATTCAGCTCGATTCTCCAACTTTCTTCTCAACATCATCTCATGATTGAACATTCTTGCACCTAAATAAATAACAACATACTTTCACTCTTTGTTTATTATAGTCACCTACTTTCATTTCTTCTTATTATAGTAAAAAACAATTTTTCTAATAAACAAATAGAGTGTTGTTAATGTGCTCACCAAAGGGTATATGATCAAAAGGCTCAGCAGCTTCAAGGGCAGTTGGACTCAAACAATTAGAAAAGTCACCTCTCTCATGCTGTTGATGCTTCCTACAAATGCAATTCGATAAAATGTGACAAAAATTCAAAAAGATAAGAGATAAAAAAATATGGAAATGAAGGAGTGAAAACATACTTATCGGGTATTTTTCCCTTCTCTTTATATGGTTTAACAAGAACACGTGAATCACAGACAAAATGAGGGTTTCCTTTTGCCAAAATCGCCTTCACAGTTTCAGGGAGAACAAATGTAACAAATCCAAACATCCGTTTTTGTTGATATGGAATTCTTACATCTTGAACTGGTCCAAAGATACTTCACAACATAAAAAGAAATCTTTTATTTTTATGTTCAAAGTTGATAACAAGAGAATATGGGACTTAAAAGGGATGAATTACAAAATTTACAATTACCTGAAGTAATTTGAAACATCTTCTTCTTTAAAAGTGCTATCAGCTGGAAATGTTAAGTAAATTTGTCGAGAGCTTGAACTTGAATTCCCTAACCCCATTGCTGCAAAATCATGGCTATGGGGGCGAAATCGTCCGAATTTGTGAAAATCTTCCCCCATCATCAATGCTGCTGCTGCTGCTGCTGATGGTGATCTTAAATGCAGCATCATCACAAAATTAAAGAGGATATTGAAATTATTAGTTTCCCAGAATAATAAAGAATCTGAAAGACTGTAACATAACTCGTTTTACCAATAAACACAAGAAAACATGTCATCTAGTCTAATTTATCTATTCCATTTCAAGAACATACAAAAAAAGAAAACAACCCTTAAAAGATTAACAAAGTAACAAACAAAGTGTTGGCAGAATGGTTGTCGAGAAGGAATCTAAAAGAAAATCGAAAAGAAACTTTTTCTTCTTTTAAGCAAAAAAAAAATTACTTGAGGGTTTACGAATAAAGTAGCAAAATTTAACAAGATAACCATACCTAGGACTGTCATTGAGAAAGTTCATGCATCTGTTGAAGGGGAAAGGATGAGGTCCTCCTGCAGCCATGGCAGCAGCTCTATGTTGCTGTTGAATTGCTTTGATTCTCAAAAAATCTTCAATCCCGTCGATGTTTCCAGTAGGAGACCCAACAATTGCGGTAGGTGAAGATGAACCCAGACACATTTCGTCTCCAAGACCTCCATTGCCATGAATGAACTTGCAAGAAGTGCCATTTTTGCAAAACCCTCGAGCGTAATACATGCAAGGCCTCCACCCGCCTAATCCATTACCCAAATCGTCATTTCCACCACCGCCGCCGAAAAACATATCATTTACCGAGCAACTTCTTCTGTGGAAATGGTGTTGTGCATCGCCGCAACTACCTCCATCTGCAGACCAATCAGTGGAGCTATTCGGGTAAGGGAACAGAATCGAGTCGCTCCGGCCACCGGGACTCACAATCGGGTCCATGAAGTCGCCATTCTTAGCGTTGTCAAGGAACGAAAGCTGATCCGTGACAACTTGCAGCCCGCTGTTATTATTATTATTATTATACTCTTCTGTGCCGTCATTATAACTGTTGTAAAAAGAAGCAGAAGAACCGCCGCCGCCGCCGCCGCCGTTAACAACAGAAGCGTATGAAGCTGCGCGAGGGCTGCTACGACGATCATGGAAAGACCCAGATGACGACCAAGGCGAATGAGGTGAAAGGGGAGAAGGGTTCATGTGATGAAACCCATTGTTCGGGATGATGATTCTTGGGGATCTTTGGTTACTAAAAGGCGACGGAGACGAAGGTGTAGACGAAGTGTTTGACGAAATGTCTAAGAAAGCTTTGGCTTGTTTTATGACAGAAGCAAGAAGGTTTTCAGGGCCAAAAGCTAACCTTATCATCTCGTTTTCGCCTTGGTCTTGTATGAGTATATAACCCATGATTTTGGAAGCGTTTTCTGGATCTATGTTTTGGATTCTAGACATCACCATTTTAGTAGCTTCGATTGTATCCATGGAGGTCACTCACTACTGAACTGCCCTTTGAAAAGGGGTTGTTCTCTTCAACTTTCTCTCTCCAGAAGAAAAAAAAGGTTTGATTATTTGAGAGAGAAAGACGGGGGAAGAAAGAAGGAAGAGGTAGGGTTTTTTAAATAAGGAGTAAAAACCTTTTTTACTTATTTACACACCAATAAGGCAACACGGACGAAGGACGAAGAGAGAAAGAGATATTGGAATGAAGCGGCTTGTTTTGGGGAATGAATTATTACTAGACAGAATAATATACAAATATAATTAATAGTATTATTTTTAATGACCATTTAAAACGAAAATATTCATAACATGTTAGTTTTGTCGTTTGTGTTATGGTTATAAAAATGGTGAAAGAAGTATTTTATTTGGATGAATATTTTATTTGTATCATCTCAATTAATTGAACTTTTAACTGTACATTTCACGTTATTAAAGTTTATAATTTTGTTTCATATGAATCTTTGACATTTTCATCGACGAGGTGATCTGTAATATATTAACTAGTCATCGAACATAATTGATAATTTTTCTACCTAATAAAAAAAACATTTTGGTATCTAATGGCATCTCCTCAGCTCCAGCTCCACTTCAGCTTTTTTTCCACCCAAATTTATAAAGTGAAGTGCCGATGTTGCCATTCTACTATTTAAAACTCTCAGTGATGATCTGTGTGGCCTGTGTGGCCTTTGTCTTCCCCCGGTGCTCACATGCAGTTGTCAAGCTACCAGTGCTGGAGCCAACACCGTCCCTCCTGCCAAACTGGGACAATCAGCCTTAACGTGACCTAGCTGCAAAGAAAGCATATAATCATCTCCCCTTGCCTACAGTCTTGACTATAGTGACTTTCCTGTCCACACTTGAAGCTAGGGGTGAGATTTAAAACCGAAAATCGGACCGTAACCGGAAACGTTAGAACTATAATATATTGAATCAGTTCTAGTATGGGTTTAAAGAATGATTTATTCGGGTTTTGGGTAATCGAGGTTTGGGTCCTTCGGGTACGAGTAAACTGAGTTTAAGAACCTGAATCGGTGTTAGGAACCGAAACCGGTTTCTGTGAAAATTTTAAAACATGCATATCTCATTCGTTTGAAGTCAGATTGACATGCAGCTTTTTCAACGTGTAGTTTAGAGTTTGTTCATGATTTTAGACTATAATTGTGTCATTCTTTGTTTTCTATTCATTGACTTAAAATCTCTCAAAGTTAGTCTATCAAAGCTGAAAATTTTTTGTTTATCAGTTTTTTTTGTATTTATGAAAATTTTAAAACATACATATCTAATTTGTTTGAAGTTGGATTACCATGCCGTTTTTTCCAACATGTACTTTAGAGTTTTTATATGATTTTAGACTATAATTTTATCATTTTGGGTCTTATATTCATTGACTTACAATCCCCCAAAGTTAAAAAATTTCAGTTTTTTAGTTTTTTTGTATTTTGTGAAAATTTTAGAACATACATATCTAATTTGTTTCAAGTCGGGTTAGCATACGGTTTTCTCCAATGTGTTGTTTAGAGTTTGTACATGATTTTAAACTATAATTTTGATATTTATGGTTTACATTCAATGACTTACAGTCCTCCGAAGTCGAGATATCAAAGCTTGAAATTTTCAAAGTTTAACCCACTAAGTGATTACCAAATCTTCGGTTTTTCCGGGTTTTCCGGTTCCACCCGACCCACTTTGACATTTCGGGGTTTTCTGGTTCTAGACCCACTTTACTCAGTACCATACTCGGGACCGAACAAGAATTGATTCTTGTCTACCGGTCCTACAAAATCTTGTTAACCGGTTACGGGTTTTCCGGGCTGGTTTTGGACCCACTTTCATCCCTACTTGTAACACATAAATGCAAACGTATGACGAGCACCCTCATACGCCTTCACACACATGCCACAACGATTGTAGCTCCTCTAACCTCCTAAGTGAGTATCGATAGCTTTGAACTTCTTAGCCACTACAACGGTCCATAGAACTTCACCTACTTTCTTTTTCATTGTTGGGTCTCCAACTCTAGCTCCCTACTCATGGTTGCAGTCACCGTCTCAGATGGAGTACGACACCTTGAAACACTCACAAACTTACATATCTCAGTCTTTATCATGTCAAAATAATGAGTCGTCTTCATCCCATCTGTCGATGCATATTCTGGGAAAAACAATGCCTTCTCCATGAACCTATTGGTGATCTTTGTTGTATATTAGAGAGTTAGATACTCTCGAGTCACTCGCTCCATCTCTATTGGAGGTACATGCTCCTTCCTAAAGCGTCTTATAAAATCATCTAACAGCATGGCCTCAAGATCGACCGAAGAAAGGGACTGAATAATCAAGCTGTAACACCCAATTCGTCAAGTAAAGCCCTTAGCTATTATGAAACATCCCAAAAACACAGTCTGAAAATTTCGTTTAATTTAATGATAAAACCATAGTCAATAAACCTCATATAGAAATCATAAGCAATGTATCTCAAAATATTATAACAACTGTCAAATATATCAGAGTATAAACATCCCAGGCTGAACAAATGGTGTGTGCACTGCAATCTCCCCGAGCTCCTCTTTTGAAAACTGAGTACCTGAAACCAAAACTGAAAACCGTAAGCACGAAGCTTAGTGAGCTCCCCCATAATATCCCATACCATCCAAGCATCCAACAAATAACATGCAATTAGGAGATACGGGCCCCGCCCACACTCGTGAAGATACGGGCCCCGCCCACACCTCACTTTCTGAGAGATACGGGCCCCGCCCACACTCGTGAAGCTACGGGCCCCGCCCACACCTCACTTTCTGAGAGATACGGGCCCCGCCCACACTCGTGAAGATACGGGCCCCGCCCACACTTCGCTATCTGGGAGATACGAGCCTAGCCCACACTCCATTCTCGGAGAGATACGGGCCTCGCCCACACTCAACCGCCAACTCATATCATACAAGTATCGCACAGACAACAAGTGTAAACAATTCTATCATACTGGCATATATCATAATCAACTCAACTAATAGATACGGGCTCGACCCACACTATAATACTAACGTCTCATCTATACGGGTCGGCCTTGGTGCCTTAGACCCGTTACTACTGGAAGGAAACTCACCTGAACTGCTGAGCCCTACTGATAAATCTCTGGCTGCTACTCGACAATCCCCTGATCCGCTGCTCCTCCAGCTCTCCGAGCTATCAATATACATATAACACTTAGTCTGACAGTCAACTAAGTCAACTCTGGTCAAAGTCAACCTTCCAGGTCAACCCTACTCGCCGAGTCTTCCTAAAGACTCGCCGAGTTCATAAGCTCAGGGTCTTTCTTATTCGCGACCCGACTCGCCGAGTCAGTCCATGACTCGCCGAGTCCAACCAGTTCCAAGTCCTGTCCTGTCCAACTCGCTAAGTCACCACCCGACTCACTGATTCGGGTCTCGACTCGAAGGGTTTAGGGTTTTCGCGATCTGACTCGCTGAGTCCAAGAACAGACTCGCCGAGTCCTAGACAATCTTCAACCAACTCGTCGAGTTGTTCATCCAACTCGCCAAGGCCATGCCTATCTTCATCCGACTCGACGAGTTGTTCATCCTACTCGTCGAGTTCCTCCTCACCTTCAAGCTACTCGCCGAGTCCACTCGAAGGACTCACCGAGTCTATCCATTCCTCAATCCATGCAGTGGCTTTTCGAGCCAAACTGAACTTCCAACTCCTAGATCCATACTTCTAGGGCCTATTCCCCCCGTAAAGTGGCAAACTTTACGTGTAGAATGTGAGATCTAAACTCAAAACACACTAAATTCGGGTTTATGGCAAACATGCTTCTTCAACATATCAAAGGCTGATACTTTAGGGGATTCTAGACCAAAACCAACATGGATCTGAGGTAGCAACCTCAGATCTGAACCTCCAACTCGAATTGGTTACATATCATACCAACAATGGCCAAAACCCACACATAAGAGTAGATCTAGATGAAAAAGAGAGTCCAAGCAACAACTTATTACCTCCACTTGGTCTGAAATGACTCCGCAATCCAGATCTACAATCCCTTCTTGCACCTCCAAGGTCTTTCTTCCTCCTCCAAGCTTAATGCATTCTACAAGGCAAGATCTAGCTCCAAAAACGGAAATGGCGGCTAGGGTTAGATGTTCTGGGGTAGAGAGGCAATAAATGAACCCTAGGAAGGAGAATGAGACGCTTAAATAGGCTCCAAGTTCCCGGGTTTAGGGTTTTCCCCGTTCAGACCCAACTCGCCGAGTCTCCCTGGCCCACTCGCCGAGTCGGTCGCTTTCACCACAACCCGGATCCCGCTCGGACTCGCCGAGTCCCTCCATGGACTCGCCGAGTCTCCCCTAAATTTGAGGTTTTCTTTCTTTTCTTGGCTTTCCAAAATTTGGGGTGTTACAACTCTCCCCCACTTAAACTAAACTTCGTCCTCGAAGTTTGCTACGATCAACTGCCTTTGAGCTGCCACCAACTCTCAGTCTGGAAAAAATCTAACACCCTTATGCCCATCACTCCAGCCACTCACCATGCCGATCACTACTGTTGGTACATACTGAATCTTTCTCTTTCCATAATTTCCTCAACGATACTTCCTTCGACTGAAAATCCTGTTGCCTCTCAACTGCTTACTGGATGCACTGAGACTACCCTTGCTCAACTATTCTGCCAATATCTGAGTTACCATCTCCCACCGGTCACTACACTCCATCGCAATCTCTTAGCCGCTCCTAGCGACTTCGTAAGATACCCCGACTGACCATAACTGTCCCATCTATTCTGTCATCCATACTGAATCAGCTTGCTTATATCCCATCTGATTACTCAACTCCTACTAACTCGAGTCTTTCATCCCGAAGAAAAGCTACTTGCCTAGCTATCTTTACATGTCACTTATACTCGGCCGAAGGCTCAACTGATCCTGCTGAGAGAGACTTGTCATTTCCACATCAACCAACTATACCGTCAACACTAGTATTCCAACTCAAATACAATACTGACCCAAAACTCCGAAACCTTTCAAACACTGAATTGTCTGCAATACCGAACCTGCCTGAAACACTAAACTGCCTGAAACGCTGATCTGGCTGAATCACTGAGCTGCCTGAGACACTGAGTTGGCCGAAACACTGAGCTGCCTGAAACACTAAATTGGCTGAAACACTGAGCTGCCTGAGACACTAAACTGGCTGAAACATTGAGCTGCCTGAAACACTAAACTCAAG